CACCCCAAATAAATAAATAAATAAATAAAATATTCGAAATATAACCATCGTTGTTACAATAACAATATCTCCAAATTTTCAGCAAGTAATAGTTGCAGCAATAAGCAAAGCAAGTGAGCGAGCGAGTGTACGTATCTGAATACACCAATACACTGATTCCTATTATTACGAAAGACTTTGAACACTTCAAAGTAACGTGCACACTAACAACCGCTTCGAAAATACTATTCGAACCTTTTCTTGGTTGTCTAGTCTCGTGTGCTTGTGTGTACGTGCTCGAGTGCCGATTTAGGAGCAAAAGCAACTTTTAAACAGCTACAACTGTATTCTCGAAAGAATCAACCTTTTCAAAACGGTTCTCGCGACAGGATAGCGAAAATTAATAATAAAAGACCAAAAATATAATATAACAGAAAAAAAATGAGTTCGGCGGAACTTGCGGTAGTAACCGCAACGGCATCACCTCTTCGTCCGAGTCCTCACCATCAGCATCGACAACGAAAGTCTTCGGTGAGTCTCAGCAAGACTGATATAGTGCTGGAGACACTTCGTGAGGAACATGTTTCTAATAGTCAAAAAGAAGCACGAGACTTTATCGAGAAAACGTTGGGCACTCAATTATCCGGAGATGATTTACACAAGTCACTTCAGGACGGTGTGATGTTATGCAGGTGAGAGAAGCTTATACACAATTCATTAAAGTGCAAAAGAGAGTATAGATAGGTATTACAGTATTGATCACCTACAAACTATGGAATTTCCTTCTCATCGTTTATGAATAAATATATTGATTATTTTATTTGTTTGTTAATCCCTAATAAAGTTTAATGAACAAGCTTAAACCAAATACAATACCGCAAATTAGTCGAAAAGATCTTCCATTTGTTAAGGTAAATATTAAATTCGAGTTTTGATTAGTTTATTTGCCAGAGGATGGATAAGTGGGTGAAAGAAAGACGAATATATGTTATATAAAGCTCATAAAATAAATGAAACTAGCAGGGTTGTACAGGGGTTACCATGCCTTTTCATTCTTAATTCTTATTATTTACGATGCTATTACTAATATAACCTCTCGTTCTTTTTCAACAAGATGGAAAATATTTCGAATTTTTTAAGAGCTGCTCGACAGGTAAATTAATTTATTTCTGAAATTCATCAATTAAAAAAAAACTGAGCTGAATTCAACTGAATTATAATGACTATCTTTTTCGATCATCAGTTTGGGCTGCCTAATTCTGATTTGTTTGAGACGGTGGATTTATTCGAGGGAAAAGACATGGAAAGGGTGAGTGTGCATATTCTTATCTTATATAACTATCAGCTGTGTTCAATATTAATTTACTATATATCCAATTTCATGAAATATTAATTATTAAATCAAAAGGTTGTCGCTACAATATTAGCCATTGCACGAATAGCGACAGGATCCGGCAAACATAACAACAGCACAAATCATCAATCATCAGATAAAGATAATGGCAACAACTATATTCTCCCTCCTCCATCAAAGGCTATTAATATTAATATCAAAAATAATAGTAATAGATTGATTATAGATGGATCAGTATTATCCTCGTCTCCTTCTTCATTACCCAAATCACCCGCAATGCCTCCACCAATGTGGGAAGCAGCAAGAAAGTTTCGACGGAACTCTGAAGGATTTGCATTGCAACCTCAGTATAAAAATCAAAAAAACGGGCTGGGCTCCCGAAAACAAAATAGTTTTTCAAGTCATCAACATCTCAATAATATCATTAATAATGTCAAGAATAATGGCGAAAATAATTCTACGAATAATGCCATATCCACAAGGCAACATCAGCTAATACCAATCAACATAACGCGAGAATTAGAACGTTCAACAAGCAGAAGTAAAAGAATGAATAAAAGACAGAATAACGAACATGAAGATAATGAGGATGAGAGTGAGGGTGAGGGTGACGATGATGACGAGGGAATAGTTTTAGATTTCAAAAATCCTCGCATCGAAAAGAGATCATTACCGAAGACAAAATCATCAATTTTTTTTCTTGATAATTCAGTAAATAAAATTTCGTCTTTGACAACATCTCCGCCATTGTCATCAAAAACTTTTTTGATGACTAAAAAATTGGCGGAAAAGACAATTGTTAAATCAGAAAATATAAACTCTGATAGCAACATAAATTTGACTTGTAATTCCGTGGTAGGTATGCAATCGGAACCGAGTTCTGTTAGTGTCAATAGTATTAATAACAATAATAGCGTATCAGGAGGAGAAAATATAGCAACAAAAGCGAAAACCTCAGATAAACAAAAAATCAATGCAGACAACATTAATAATTATAACGAGTCAAATAAATTAATGCATGAAATGCTAGTGCCAAAAAAACGACCAAGTTTACGTAAATCAATGACAATGAACCAATTATTCAGTAAAACAATTGAGCAACAAATACAGCAAGAACAAGAACAATCAGAATTTTCTGAGAATTCTTCTCCATTATCATTACCTTTATCACAGAATGCAACGCCAGTCTCGGAAGTCCATAAAACTAATAATAGCTATGGTGCTCTTAAAAGATCAACTTCCCGCGCCAAGACTCATGTTCGTTACAAAAGTGATCGAACTGCGGAAATATCAACAAGTAAATATATTAATGATGCAGATTGTGGTGATGGTAATGTTTTTCATCATGATAAGCATGATGATAATAATAACAACAATGACGATGGTGATGATCGGACATCAGTCTATTCTGATCCAAGAAAACGTGAAAGTGTGCATAGTGGGGTAGATGCAATAAAATTTATCGTTGGCGGTGAATCATCATTAAAGAAATCAGAAAAGTTAATATTGCGTGGAGGTAAAGACGGGTTGGATGTACAATATCAATTGGGAAATTGCATAGGAAAAGGACAATTCGGATCAGTTTATCGAGCATTGAATTTGGGTGATGGACAAATGGTTGCAGTGAAGCGGATAAAGCTAGAGGGTAAAAAGCAGGACGAAATTGATCAATTAATGCGAGAAGTAGAACTTTTACAGTCATTATCACACCCTAGCGTGGTTAAATACGAGGATCTTATAATGCATGATAATCACATTAATATTATTTTAGAATTCGCAGAGAATGGATCTTTATTGCACACATTGAAAGCATTTGGAAATTTCCCAGAGAGATTAGTTGTCTCATATGTAGTGAAAATATTGGAAGGACTTGTCTATCTCCATGTCAAACAAGTGGTTCATTGTGATCTTAAGGCAGCAAATATTCTAACCACTAAAAACGGTAATATCAAATTATCAGATTTCGGCGTATCGCTAAATTTGAAAATGATGGAAAACGTGAGTAACAACGATGTGGCCGGAACCCCAAATTGGATGGCACCAGAAGTTATCGAGTTAAAAGGCGCCTCGACATCATCAGATATTTGGTCGTTGGGATGCACGATAATAGAACTATTGACCGGAAAACCACCATATGCTGATCTCCTTCCCATGACAGCGTTATTTCATATTGTGGAGGATGATTGTCCACCACTGCCGGAGAATATTTCTGATGATCTAAGGGATTTTTTGAAACTGTGTTTTCGTAAAGATCCCGCGTTACGTCCATCAGCTCGAGAATTGTTTCATCATCGTTGGATTAAGAATAATTGGACATTGAAAGAATTACGGACACAAGAGAGCTTACCGTTTTTAAGGCGTATTACATCAGAAAATGAGATTTCTGATAATCCAAACCTGTTGAATGCTGTTAATAATAATGACAATGATGATGTTCTTAATATTCAAAATAATAAGAATAATAATGGTTCAATAACATTCGAATCTCCACCACCACCAACATCATTACTATCAAAATCATTACCAGCAAACGATAATGATTTTCATCGTAATTTTAACACTAACAATTATCCACCATCTCCGATTGTTGGGAGTCCGCCTGTTTTTATGGCCAGACCCATTGTGCCACATCGGTTTGTGAAGATTTCTTTTAGTAAAGGTATGTATATGTGAACGTGTCAAATTTCATTCGTTAGTCTTTTGTTCGGCAATAATTAAATTTTTTGTTTTGTGATGTTGTATTTAGCTGTGGAATGTCGTATATGTCACAATCCCGTAAAGAAACACGCACGCTTTTGTGAAGGTATTTATTTAAAACGTACGCAAAATAGAATTTTTATGTAATTTTTGTTAATTTATTGATTTTGATAGAATGCAACATGGTGTGTCATCAGAAATGTTCACCGGAAGCTACATCACCATGTGAATTCAGTAATCGACAAATAATGCTTACTCAAGTTGGTTTGGTATGTTTTGATAGTGTGCTTTTTATTTTGCCTTAATTTTTGCATCACTTGTCGTTTATGGTTAAATTAATCAAAAAAAAAATAAATCCTCAGATTGATGATAATCTGCCTACTCGATTTAATAATTTCACAAATAACATATCAACAACATCCACATCAGAATCCGATCATAATAATCATGCAATCGCCATTCCTCTTCCAAATTCACCACCACCAACACCACTATCGGTTACAACTTCACTACCACCATCAAATACCAAATCGCGTAACAATCATCCATCATCACCTACTCATCGATTCAATAACAAAAAAACAAAGAAAGACGATTCAGTGACATCACAGAGTTCTGTGGCTGATAGCCTTGATTCTTCGTCAAGCTCTCGACCTGGATCACCGATGATGTCCGATAATAACAATGGCACTAATAGTAATAGTAACAATAATAGCTTGAACGCGAATAACTCTAATGGACGTCCACTTTCTTCTGCTGATGAAAATAACAATTCAAGCAGCACCACAAATAATAATTCCGTTTCATCCACTGCGGTAAATGCTTCTACGAACAATAACAATAACATTAATAATGGAGGAAAAGGAAGCGGAAAGAGTCGAGCAAGCAGATTGATCAAGAAAAAAGGAGCCAATGGAAAGGATGATGATTGTATTATTATGTAATCATTATACATGAAAAAATAATTTAGGATTATTTCCTTAATTTATTTATTTATTTCGTGAAAAATTTTGAGCTTTTTGTTAGTCGATTATATATCCTCAAACTCCCCCCCCCCATTTTTATGTATTTTTGATAGTCTACATGTTAAAATTTCTGTTAATTGTAAATGATTTTGCTTTTTTTTTTTAGAGAATGAACTAAAATTTATTACCTTTTTTCTCAAAATTATTATATTTAAAAAGTTTACACAAGGATTTCAAAATACCAAAATTTCATTAGTAAAACACGCGCGCCATAATAATTTCTTGAAAATAATTTCCTGTTACATCATTTCAATTGAGACACGAACTTTTTCAACACAAATAAAGTCAACAATACGTTCAGCGGAAATTCTTTTTGAAAGAAATATCTGTGTTACATACCTTTGCCTGTTTTACAATTGAAACGCTAGCCGAAAAAATCTCAAAAAACAGAATGTAAAGTCGCAACCTAAGGATTGCTCTACTCCCAACCTCAGCAGTAATGATATTTTTATAAATAGTCATTGGAGATAAAATCACCTCTATGTTTGATATGTTTATTGCAGACAATATAACAGAACATTTATTAATAATAAAAAAATCTCCATTGAATTGTCATCAATATAGTTATATTGGCCGATCAATAATTTACTAAGTATGGCAATGTTGTGATTGAAAATTTGATTTTGGAAATCATTATATTGGTGAAATGTGACATCTGTAGTAGTAATAAAGAAAAAACCTCATTAATATACATATTTTATGGAAAAATAAATTCATACATATATACCCTAATAATCCACGACCACCCCAACCACGTCTCGGAGTAAATTGTAATACCATGCGTGTTGGCGGCAGTAATTCTTCTGAAGACGACGAGGAGTCTCGTTCAATTGTAACATCAATAATTTTCTTTTGATAATTATAAAAAAAGTTGTTAGTTAATCTCTATCATAATTTTTGTCACGGTTTTAATTTGATAATATTAACAATGATTATTAATGCGCAATTTACTCACGCCTTCACTTTGCCCAACTAAAGTATTCAATGCTTGAAGTTTTTCGTGGTTTCCCGCGTGTATTGTGCCAAAATTTAGAATTTTGTCACCTTTTTGTAGTCCCTTTTTTTTTATATTAATCAATTAATGATCAATCCACTATTGATATAACAAAATAAAAAATTAGTTACCGCGTCTTTTGCAGGTGAATCTGGTGCAACAGCATTCACTATTGCAAATGGTGTCGTGGTTCGTGCATGTTGTTCTTTATTATTATTATTATTGTTGTTGTTTTTGTTGTTGATTTTTTTATTAATCAAAAAGAAGAGCTGAATCAATTAATTAAGAAAATTTACAAGATTATTTAAATAAACTAATATAAACCTTGATCTTGTTCTGATGTGATTAATCCACTACCAGTATTTTCTGAGAGTCTTTGGGATTCTACGCGTTTTTTCTCTTGAGCTTCAGCGTGTATAGCATGTAACGCTTGCTCGATTTGTAACATTATGGCTTTATGATCATTTCGCAATGCTTTTTTTGTTTATAAAATTAATTAAATTTTAATATTTCTTTAAGCTTTAAAAATAAAAATATTCAATTCCATTGATAAAAGATAATTAAATAAGAATCAATTTTCCTTCTAAAGAAACGAATAAAACATTAGTTAAAAATTATATTCACCGATAATTCTCGCGCGTGCTGTTCTAATCGCGACTAAATCCACATCTGCGCGTGGAAACCCAAAATTATCTACTAAGGGTTCGGTCATTCCGACACCTTGCTTTTCAAAATTAGAAAAAAAAGTTAATTGATCGATTTACAAATTTGACATTTTTTTAACAATAAATCATTATAATTATTGAAGATATCGTGCAGAAATCGAGTCTATCATGTTTTATTAATAAAAAAAAAGACAAAGATATCGTCAACATACACCCTTCAGCACTTGTTCAAGTTCAGCAACTTCGGCTTCTATTGCGTCCTTTCTTGCCATTAATTCATGCGCTGTCTTGACTGGATTATTATTATCAATATCATTATTTTCTCTTGTTAATTCCATGACTTATCTTTATTCAAGTAAAAGTTCAATTTTTGTTGCGTGTCAAAAATATGAAATTTGGCTAAATATATTTCACATGACATAATGTGTCACAAAACCCCGATCACGAAAACAAAATTCCAAAAAAAAACCTAGTATAAGTGGTAACAATTGTGACATTCCAGATTGGAACTCACCCTAACCGTCTAAATAAAAGGCGCAAAAAAACATATTTCAACAAACTCCCCGAGGGTAATGACAAAGTCATCGGGAAAAAAGAATAAAGAACCAGAACTATCAGAGGTCTTAAAAAAATGGCTCGAACCGCGAATTCGACCAAAATTAGCGGCCGGTCTAAGTTTGGAACAAGCATGGGAAGACTTGGTTAAAGATATAGTCATTAAAGCTTTATCGCCGTTGCCGCTAAAAGTGTTTGCGAGTGCAATTCAACGTCTTCAAGAGCTCGATGAAGCAGCACGGCTGGCATTGGTGGAAAAGCTACTTACCATTTCACCTAATCCCGAATGTGCACCACCTGATCGAGCTGAGCGTATCCGTAATACTTTGTTGACGGTTTTGTCCCCTCAAAATGGGCCTGAAGGCTCGGGTACTTTTATCGAGGTCGATGAAGATTTCATGAATATGGTACGAACTGTGCTTGAGCATTCACACAGAGATTGGGCCAGTGCACGCGACGTACTTCAACGTTTTCTTAAAGACTGCACTACAAAATTCAATGGCGATCGTAATGTTTTTATTGTGTATCCTCGTTTATCTAATATTGTACGTGATGTATTTCAAGATATACATGAACAAAAGAGTCTCAATTATTTTTATGCATGCATGCAAGAACTTGCTGCTGCAAAAGGACACAAATTAATGGAACTAGTAAAGATTAATATTGCTAAAGAAGATAATACACATCTCGATAAATTCTTACGAATAGTGTTTCCTAAAGGAATTCCTGATGATCCAGTGATAAAAAACCCGAATAAGAGTGATGACAGCAATGATGAGCCTCCTAAACACAAATTTTCGTTAAGACCGCGTACTCGATATCGACCGCCTCAACAATTGCTAAGACCAAGATGGCATAACCAGCAGCAAATGCTTCTTCGAACGTTATTGGAGGAACCTTCACATATGCTTCCGCGCACAGAGCTAATCGCTCGTGCTCTGGCAAAAGACGCGGAAATGAGTGCGCGTGAAGGTTTACCTCGATGTTTTACTGGACAGGTACGGGAATTGTTATTTAGCAACGCATAAATGCTTTATCATTATATAAATACGTCCCTCAATAATTTATTTCACATGAAATGGATTGACAGTTTCAATTTGTATAAAATAGAGAACTGAATCTTGTTTTTTAATAGACACCTAAAAATTCTGCTAGTGCTTGTCTTACTACGAATGCTGAAAAGTATTTTGTGCTGGTGAAACAAACTGGAACCCAAAATTCATGGTATAAACTTTCCTTTATACCCGGAGATTTGGACGATGCCATCGTGGCCTATAATAGCTGGATGAAGCAGTTAATTGAACATGATTGGCCTTTATGCTTTGGAAAGACGAAAAAGTCTAAACACGGTAATAATACTGATGAACACTGCTTTTGGTGATCCTGATAATGCTTCTGCACCTCCTTCCAAACGATTCCCAATTGATGGCGATGAACCTACTGCTTTTTTGGTATCGCTAATAATATAACAGGTATCGATCTCATAAAAAGTCCACGCGCGGTTGTTTTGAGTGTAGGTGCCAGCAACGAGAAGCACTTACGGTGCAGACGTTGCGGTCCAGAAATAAAGGCGTGTGATATGAAACTACCATCTTGCACAAAGTGCAAATCTAAAGGGGTTCTTTGTGTATATCCCATGCGTGCAGGAGTACACAGGGATAATTCTCGGCTTAATAATACTTATAATACAACAATCAAATCTTCTCCTTCGAAGTACAAGGAGATGCCGCCCACCACAATTTCTCTAAGAACAAAGTCACGCGAGATGACCGACTCTTATGAAAAGAAGGTAAGAAATAAGATTTCAAATGATATTGAGGCCGCTAGTCAAGAAGAAATACTCGCTGGTCTTGATTTAACGGGTGTCCCCACGAGTTTAAATGATATTGTCGAAGTTCGACCCTCTACAATTCCTAATGCTGGGCGGGGTTTATTTGCCACACGAAATATTCCAATGAGTACTCCATTAGGATTTTATTTTGGTATACCTACAATGGAACATGAATTTGATTTATACAAAGATAATGTTGGTAAAGCATCGCACTATTCAATGAGATATCGTCACACAATACTTGACGCCACTGACGAACAAGGTGAACCATTCACCGATCCAAATGGGAAAATATACTGTCCTTTTCATTTTATGAACGAGGATCCATTTGGAAATATGGTGTTTTTGGAAGGAAATGAAGTGAACCAAGTTATTTGCTGGACTAAAAGAGACATACAAAAAGGTGAAGAATTATTCGTATATTATGGAGGTGAAGTTGATCGGGGACATTGGGGAACAAAGTCAAACAACGGCGGTGGAGGAGGAGGAAGCGGTGATGCAGAAGAAGAGGAGAAAACTGAAGAGTCAGATGAACAAGAGTTTCACGATGAAGATAGTGAAGACGAATCTGAACAAGATTCGGAAGAACTTGAAAATAACGAAGACGAGGAACAGGAAGAGGAACAAGAACAAGAGGATGAGGTTGAGGACGATGAAGATGACGAAAACGAGGAACAAGAGCAGGAACAAGAAACAATTGGTGATAAAAGGAAAATGAAAGAAAATGTAGTAAAAAGCATTCCAAAGCGACGGAAAAGAACCAACAATAATAATAAATCTAATGGGAAAAATAGCAATAATACGCCGCATTCTTATAATTCCTCCTCTTATGTTAGTACCAACGATGATGAAGATGAAGTAATTATCAAGATTGAAGAAGATTAAAGCAAACGCGTTTTACACATTATGTTCATTTAGAAAGTCAAAGTTGGTCAACATCAAAACCAATGATCTTACGCGTATAACGTTACTGGATTGTATTGAGCTTCATAAAGGCTAGTTGAAGCATCTACTCAAACTAGGAACAGCAGAGATTTGTTCTATTAACTTTCACTCGGTTCCTGGATAGACTAGAGTTATTATTTTATGTTCTATAAAATTCACATGTAAATTCTGGTCTCTTAAATTATATAAAATATGACTCGAGTTTAATTGATATTCCGGAATTTTTAACATAGTTATTTTTTTGATTGTAAACAAGTTTCTTGTAAATTTGTACAGAAATAGACTTTTGAATATTGAAAAGCTTTGAATCCGGTTCATGATATTAAGTTTTACTTTAAGCAACTCTATTGACTTATATACTTCAAAATTTTAAAAAAAAAATGAATCTGATTATCAAGAATCTTGTATATATCGATATGAGAGGTTTGGCGTAGCATTATAGATAGTTCGGGCCGGAGTTAGAATTATGCGAGAATTATAAACAATGCGGGTCGGCGTTAGAATTAATGCGGGAAATTCCTTTCCTTATCAAAATAACGATATAAAAACAATATTAATAACTTTTACAAAAAATAGTTATTATAGTGCTTGACACTTAAAAACTAAAATAAATTATTCATTTTTTAAAAGATAAAGAAATGTTATACAGATACAAGAAAAAGAAGGCTGTGAATTTGTAATTAAACCAATTTACTAGAGATTACTGGTCTTCTTTTTCAAAAAACATTTTTATTAATTGACTAAGATTTAAAAAAACCTCTCTTTTTATATGAGATAAAAATGTGATCTGAAATTGACCAATCAAATTATGATATTATATAAATTATATAATTAGCACTTATAGTAATATTAATAAACTTTATAAGACAAGTCTGAATTTGTTACTGCTTAATTTTAATGAATAAAATAGATCAAAAACTTAATATCACTCTTAAAACACTAGATTTGCTTATTTCAGATCTTTATTATAGTCTATATTCATATTTTCGATGAATTTATTCTGTTAAAATATTATCGGTTTTTTTATTTACATAGATCAATAAACTAGAATATGATTTTATTTTTACTATTTAAAGTAATATTAAAAATAGAAAGTTATTATTAAAATATCATTATAAAAGTGAATAATTTAAAATTATTAAGAATAATTTTTATGATTTATACTCAAATATTTAATATAAAAATATATTATTTTGATTATATAATTTTGAATTTGATTAATAAAATTATATTTAATAATTCTAAAAAAAGAAGTAAAATTTTTTTTAAAGTTTATTTGGTTAATTAATATGAGATATTTATATATATTATATAATTTCTTTATGAATCAAGTGAATATATACAGAAATAGACTTTTAATCTTTAATTAATCATATATTTTAAAGAAAATAGATTATTTTTTATTTTATAAATTTAGGATGATAAATATATTTTGAAAATTTATTAAGATTCAAATAAAATTTGAAAATTCTTAGAATTAATATAAAAAATATAATAATATATAACTTTTTGAATTAGAAGATCATAATATTTAAAAACTTATTTATCAAATACATATTTTTATATGTTAAATATAAGACTGAACTAATAAAATAATAATAATATTAATATATAATTATTATATCAAGTAATAAATACTAGTAAATATTAAATAATATTAGTTTTTTATTATTTAAATGAATTTAAATATTATAATTAATAATTAAAATCTATATTAAAAGTAATATATTCTTTATAATATGAATTTTGAAATTATAAATATTATATATAATAAATAATGCTTTATTATTATGAATATATAAATATTATTTTATGATTATATAAAAAATTAAAAATTATTATTTAAAAAAAAATTTTTTTTTATTCTAAACAAATAATAATAAAATTTATTAGATTTAATTTTAAAATAAATTTATTAATTCTAATAATAATAAAGAATTATTAATAAATTTATATAATATTAAATATCTTACTAATATTCTAAATTATATATTTAATATTTCTAAAATATTTTGATTATATTTTATATAAGCTCTTACTAATAATAAAAAATATCTAAATAATAAATAATATATTTTATTAATTATTATTAATAAATTTTCTTAAACTAAATTATAAGATAAATTAGAAGTAAATATTTTTTTAATATTAGTATTAAATTTTATATTAATTCTAATTTTTTATTATAATAAAAGATAAAAAAATATATAATATCTAATATTTGAAAATATATATGACTAAATAAATATGATATTTTACTATTACAAAAACTAATTATTAAATAAAAAAAATTAATATTTGAAATAAAAAATTAAATTAAATAATTTTTAAATGATAAAGAAATTATTAATATAAGTTTATATAAAATTAATATAAAAATATAAAAATTAATCATGTATCTTTAAGATATTAAAATAATATTATGAAAAAAATTTTCAAAAATATATTTAAATAAAATAAAATAAACTTTATTTATGAAATAATTATAAAAAAATTGATATTACTATTAAAAAAATTTAAATAACTTGTATAATACTTGTAATAATTATAAATATTTGATATTTAAAATATTAAATTACTAATTTTTATATATAAAATTGATAAAAGCTTTCAGATAAGTATTATTATTAATTTTATATATAATAAAATATTAATCTAATATATTTATATTTAGAAAATTTTATTAAAAAAAATAGAAACTTTATAAAAATATATATAATACATTACAAAAAAATTATAATTATTATTTTTGCTTATATTTAATAAATATTTATTTAATTTATATAAAATTTTAAATATATATACTTAATAATCTAATAAAAAAGTTTACTTAAAAGTATTTAATACTTTATCTTAATAAAATTTTTCATAATTAATATTATTTTATTAAATTTTTTTTTGAAAAAATTGATTATAAAAAATTTAAAATACTTTTTTAATCTTTTTTTATTTGTTATT